TATACATGTAATCCTTGTTCGTCATACCAATACTTCGATATTTTATGTTTTCCGCTTTTGTCAAGTTTTTATAGATATTAACCCTTTACATTAGGGTATGCACTCGATATATATATACATGATTGAACATTACGCGGCGCCTTGTCAAAAGTACATTACATTGTATTTCGGCGTAAACCTCTAACATGCTGGAGTAAAAAAAAAACACTAGCAATTTTCAAATACAAATACTGTGAAGAAACAATCTCTAAAACTTGACAGACAAAAAAAGGAAGGTGTGGTATAAGAGACAAGGAATTTATTAACTGCCAAGTTATCGTGTCTAAAAAAATCGCAGTTGGGATGGGGTATGTCCAGGAAACCCCCTCCCCCCTTTAAATCGGCGCATGATATCTGTCTCAGAAAATATTTACTCAAGAATGCGTTCATTTACTTCCAGTTGTCCATTTTCTACAACATTTTTATATTAAAATTGTTTGCATTACAAATTTTTCAAACAATAAAATCTCAGTGTTCATGCACGCAAGTGATTGTTCCTCAAGTTTCTGCCCGCAGTTTTGTTTTCCTCCAGCACTTATTTTCTGTTGTGCTGGCTTGACATAATTACCACAAGAGCATATAAAATCAGAATGTATACTCAATATAGTTTTTTTTTCTAAACTAAATTAGGGTGAAATAATTCATATTAAAATATTTTTAGAATGACAGCGCTATGTGACAAAGATTTTCAGGCCTGTATGAAGCAATTAATATTCATTGAGGGGGACAACAAAGAAATGTAACTTCGGGAGGGGGGTAAATAAAAATTACTTGTTACGCTTAAATTAAAAAGGTTCCAGACAAATGTTTAGTTACCACGTGTGCTTAGGGACGGGAACAATTCATATTCTCTGATACTAAAACAGAACGTTTTGTTTTACTTTAAGAAGGTATGAATTATAAAGGGCTTAAACAAGCCTTCTTTCCCCCTTAAATTTAGGATTTTTCGGTTGTAATACTTTATGAAGATATCATAGAAAAGTATTATTTTAAAGTAAATAAACCCACTGGGGTACGGAACAACCGAGGGGAGGGGGTGGGGTTCCAAGTACCTATGATAGCTACAACTTCGGATTTCCACGGATGATATATATATATATCCAACGATGACGTAATTTCTGTTGTTCCGTTCATTGTTCATTATAATAAACTTAACATAATGGTTAAACAATATTAAAAAAAAAAAAGAATTCTATACTTTTTCACTATGTAAAAGTCCTGGTCCTATATGATGAATAAGAAACAACACATGAAATCAATTTTCCGCAGTTAAATATTTTTTGCGGAAATATTGAGCACACTCAGTAAAAGGCATTAAATACATGTACAGTACCCGCATCGTTATTCTTTACAGGATACACGATACGATAGGATACACGCACGTTACGATAGGATACACGCACGATACGATAGGATACACGCACGATAGGACAGGATACACGCACGATAGGATAAACGCAAAACACGATAAACGCAAAACGCGATACACGCAAAACACGATAAACGCAAAACACGATAGACCTGATGAACGATCTTCACGATAGGATAAACGCAAAACCTGATAGGATTGTTTCAAAATGCGGAACGTTTTTTGACAAGTCGAAAAGATTATTTTGTTAAGTTACTGTAATATATTAATTTAAATACTTGCAGAGCTTCAAATCTAAACTATAAAGTACATCTAATTATTATAAAAAGAACTTGAGATCTCTGTGGTAATTTTACAAAAGTTGTTTATTTATATAAAAAATAATAACAGTGATTAAAGGGATTATTATGAAATGGAGACTGTATTTTTTTTATTTCTTTTCAAGGGTGTGAATTTTGAAACTCTATAAATAGATTTATTATTCATGAAAAAATATACATTTTAATTTTCTATCTAATAAATTTATCTTCCAGTACCAAGTTATTTCACGGAAGGAATTTACGCAACAAATTAAATATTTGTATTTAATGTTTAAAGCTTACAATCTACGATGTATCCAAAATCGCAATTAAATATTAAAATATCTTAGAAAAAAAAATACAAGTAGAAGACCGGCCGAAAGAAAGGTTCCAAGAAATCGGCTTTAACAAAATAGATTTAACATGATAGATCTATCAGAATTAAACAGTTCAAGAAAATTAATTTCCTGAATAAAAATCTAAATAATTGTTTAAATAATGGCGCTCTGCATTAATACATGTAAACTGTTTCATGAGAATATGAATCTGCTACAACTGCATATGTACATGTACGTTTACGCTAAGCTAGGACTTATGTTCATTTAAACATGTATATATCAGATACTTAAAACCTCGTATTTATAAATGAATATTGAATGGTTAAATACTTTTCTCTTTACACTACAAAACAGAAAAATCAATTAACAAATATTAAAAGAGTGAAATGTGACTTTTCCGACTAAATAATTATAAATCATTGCTATTAAATTCTATGTGTACTGTTTCTAATAATAACAAAAAAATAGGTTTAATTCGGCAAATGAATTATTAAACCTTAAAAATCATTTTAGACTGACCCGGTAATCTCATTTGAGGCATATTTGAAGGGGGGATGTTGAAAGTCGGTAACCAATTTAAAATGAGATATAAAATTCCAAAAACATATAAACTTCCTGTGAGAACTCTTCCGAAAAATAATTGATACACTGTTATGGATTTAAGGAACTTGCCTAATTGGGTCACTTCTTATGTATAAATATAACCAAATAGTTTAAATAAGACCATATATTCAATTTGCAACATACATTCTGTTGCATGTCCTATAAGTTTACTTGGATTAGAAGTAATTGTAATTTAATTTGGTATTTCCAACACTGCTATCTTTAATAACCTGAAATGATGATGATCTGGAAGGTCATGTCTACCTACATCTCAAATATCCAATATCTCTACTGAAAAGTTTTCCTGATCCCAAAAGTTTAAGAAAATGAGATTTGTCTGTATATTGTCTTTCTTTTTAGCTTTAATTATTAAAAACCTAAATATATCATTTTAAATGATTACAAAACATTCTTTACATTTCTTGGACTGCATATTGCAATTTCCAACATTTCATTTTCACTTTATTGGATCAAACAAAGCTATCCAAGTAATTCCAGTCTTAGGCAATGGATGACTTTTGGTTAAATACAAGTATATTTTTATTTTCCTTTTCATTCAAAAATTATTATGAATTGAAACAATATGTTGTTTAAAAATGAACATGCCCCTTTCCTCATTTTCCCCTTTGTATCACTATATTTCAATGACCATTTTGTTTCCAATTTAATTAATAGCTAGCAAATGGAATCAATAACAATTACAGACTTGAGAAAGGCACTTTCCAGAGGATAATTGCTCCCTGACCCCAAATTTAGATCTTATTCCTTCTTAAAGTCATCTAATATAATGAGTAGGATGCCAAATTTCAGTGTAAGTCTAAAAAAATTTTGACATGCAACTGATCTTATCACTTGCCTTATAAATATCAGGAGCTTTCACAACATCAGATTGTAATATTTCATGAATACAAAGAACTAAACTCAAGGAAAATTGGGTGAATTTAAATAACTATATAACAAAACTCTAATCTGGAAAAGATATATGTACTTCATTCTCCTTTTTATTTACATTCATCACAAACTTGAGATATATACTTTGTCAGCCTGAAGAATGTTGGCATTAATGCCCGATAGTTTTGAGCCATGTTGAAATGCCTATCAGTTCTGAGTCATGTTGTAAGTAATGCCTAATAGTTCTGAGCCAGATTGAGCCATGTTGTAAGTAATGCTTAGTATTTTTTAGTCATGTTGTAATTTATGCCTAATTGTTCTGATTCCTGTTGTATTTAATGCTCAATAGTTCTGATCCAGGTTGAGCCATGGAGCCATACAGAGCCATGTTTTAGGTAATGCCTAGTAGTTTTCAGCCAGGTTGTCATCAATGCCTAATTGTTCTGAGCCATATTTTAAATAATGCCTTAAGCCTAATTGTTCTAAGCCATGTTGCAAACAATGCCTAATATTCCTTGGATTTAAAAAGACTCAACAAATTCTATTCCTACAATCAAACAACATGTTGTAACAAAAAATTGGAATGTAATTTCACAAATAGAAATTTAATGAAAATGGGCAATGGGTATGACATATTCTTCTCATATAAAATATAAAAAATTAAGCTGCTGCTTTATCTGCACCTAACATTACAAGAGCATCTCAAAACAATCTATAGGGTTATTTGACCATAGTTTTAAACAAGTTTCAAGCAACCACAACCAATAATAAATTTTATGATTTGAGTGTAGATCTGCAGCTATTTTGGGAGATTATTTTATTGCAACTTAATTTGTAAAATTTACTGGTTGTTATATTTAATTTCATTTTGTTTTCCACTTGATTTCTGGTACTTAGTTATTTTTCCAGTTAGCCCCCCCCCCTTTTTTTCTTTAAATTCTTTTTCAAAATCATTTCCCTCTCTAATCTTGAAAGTTAAAATTAAAAAAAAAGGGAACAAATAGTTATAGAAGCAACATCAAAATCTATGCTGGCAGACATTGCTTATAATTTGGTGTCAATCTACAGTAGCAGCATAGGGTATACCTGACACTCACTTTTCTAAAGCCAAAATGAGGTCAAGGTCAGGTCACTGAGGTCAAGGTCACCAAAGTAGGTCAGGTCAACACTAGTCACCGAGGTCATAGGCACCTAAGTAGGTCAAAACACGGAGGCTTAGGTCACTTAAGTAGGTCAGGTCAAATAATGAATCAGGTCATGACCTCAATTGCGAATTATTAGGTCGACCTTTTTCCTCAGGATACATGACCTATTTAGATGACCTGACCTACTAAATTCTACTATTTAAGGAGAAATTGAAACTGAATTTTCATTTGTTGCAAAAAGTAGTCTACACCTGTCAGAATGGATGACAAGCACAAAGAAATCATTAAAAAAAACTACTCACTTCTGGTAAAAAATATGACTGCAACTTGGGTGGCACAGCGACTCTATGAAGACGGGATTATTACAGAAGACATGAGAGAAACCATAAGCTCACAGAGAACTAACAACGAACAAAATAGAAAATTGATAAGCATCATTTTACGGAGAGGACCCAAAGCTTTCACAGGTTTGCGCAAGGCACTTATGAAATCGGGGCATCTTAATTTATCAAAACTCCTACTGAATGATTATGACGACAGCACATTGACAGAATACGAAAAGAAGTTAGCTTCAGCTCGATCACTAATAATTGATGTCAAAAAAGGAACAAACACTCCGCATCAAAGAAAAGAGCAAACAGAAACAAGATGTAAAATAAATTTGGATGAAAAAAATGACGTTTTCCTGACAGCCACAGTTTACAGAGGTGATATTATTATCCATTTACGTCATTTCATAGAGAATAATGGAGGAATGTTCCCATCAAAAAGAGGAGCCACGTTTAACCTAGGGCGCTGGGTGAAATTTGAATCATTAATTGAGGAGATTGACACCTATCTCCAAACTTACTGGAGACAGTCTGCGGAAATACAATGGCATATTGGAGGAGGTGTATTTGTTTCCTTAACACCAAAGTTTGCTACAGTTGATGTAAGACATTATTGGAAACCAGAGAGCGTTGAAAGTCCAATACCTACCAAGAAAGGAGTATGTCTTAACAAGACAATGTTTGCTCGATTAAAAGCTGCTTTACAAGAGCTTCATGATTATGTCCCTGAACTAAACAATGTAGAACTTTGTATGTTTAGTGAATCCCATCAGAACCAAGAGGGAATGCTTTCATGCCCAGAATGCACCCCCTTTCCAAAAGAATCGAAATCTCTTTCAATGGAATGTAACGCAGACGATTCTGAACAGGAGATATCATCCCTCAATATTGATGACAACGACTCTGAAAAAGAGGACATTTGCATTGGATTTGACTTTTGAAGAGTTATTCAGATGCAAACAATTTAAACATTTTCATATATAAGTGTTAAGAATTCAAAAAATGGGTTATTTAAAAAGAATACAAAGATGACTGAGGTTGTTGCTATTTCGGAAAAGGAATTTGCTCCATTTGTAGATGACATTATAAAGAATTATAATAAAACCCTCTCAGCAACATCTAAAGACAGGTTAAAAAGTTCCATTGCAGCTACTAAATTATTTGGTATGACGATTCTTATCGTCCTGTTTTTGACTTCTGTAGTTGTTAACTTGTCTAAAGAGTCAAACAGAAGATCTCTAACCATGTCAAATAGTGCAATAGGGAAGTTTGAAAAGTTGCGCCAGAACAAAACCTGTCACCCTAAGGAACAGTCACAATTCCCTGTTAATGTTTTTTTTGAGAACCTGTGTTTCAAAAGATGGTATGGGAATAGAATTAAAGAAATGTCAGGATGATTATCCAACTGAAAATGACATTTGCGTTCCTCTTGTAAATATCCATCAATGGCAGAATTTATCAAGAATCGGATTTTCTATGAGCAAAACACGTTCATCAAATTAAAAAGTGACATTTCTATCGGAATGACAATTTATATATAGAGAAATAATATTTTATATGTATATCTTTGGCTTTTGCACACTTTGTATTTTTGTATTTGATTTTAATCTATACAATATTAAATCATATTTATGTATGCATAATTAAAAATATATTTAAAAAAAAATTAAATCTTTTAAAATATATTTTATTCATTACATGTTTGAGAATATGCGATCTTTTAAAAATAAAATGAATGTAAGGTTTATTTTGTTTTGTTTTGTTTTTTTTTTTTGTTGCTAAAAAAAAATGATATAAAATGAGCAATATATCAAACATATTACACACTTGAAAAGATATGTCAACCTATAAAGACTACCTAAAGAAAATATATTTTCATCCTGGTAGTCCTGCTGCTTTTTCAGGGCCGGACAAACTGTATCAAATTGTTAAGAAGGAAGGAAAATATAAACTCGGTAGAGGAAAAATCAAACAGTTTCTCAATAATGAAGACGCATACAGTTTGTTTAAACCAATCAGAAGGAAATTTCATCGTTCAAAAGTTATTGTCGACACTATCGATTCTATGTGGGATGGTGATTTGGCCGATGTTGGCAACATTGCGTCAGAAAACGATGGATTTAGATTCTTACTAGTTTTAATTGATATATTTAGTAGATTTTTATTCATTATTCCATTGAAATCAAAACATCATCGAAATATCATAGATGGGTTGAAGAAAATATTTAAATATGGTCGAAAACCCCAAGTTCTAAGAAGTGACAAGGGAAGTG